CTTTTCTGGAATTGGGAGATGTTCAAGTTTGGGAAACCAAAACAGCTCTCAAACACGATCCTGGTTTGGACATTTTTGCCGTTGCTAATAAATTCAAGTGCAAACGCATTTATTTACTCGTATAACAATAGACCGTTAAGACAGTATCTTGTGCAAACATATTCCTGTCTGTTTCGATTCATTCCAAGAAGAAAAGAGACAAGAGGTAATACTAACGAAGAGGGATATACTAAAAAGACTAAAGAATCTAGGTTATAAATTTATAAACACAGTACAAAGCACCAACCGCGGAAGTGACAGCTATGAAAATGATAGTCTTACAGAGAAATGGCACACAATTGCATAAATTGAAGCCGCTAAAAAGAAACTGCTGCATGAAATCTAGAGGACTGTTCGTTCCATGTATATACATTTAAGTTTGGAATATTATTTGGAGTAGTATAAACATATATTAAAGTATTATTATACTCGACTTTTGTAGGGTCCAGGCCCTCGACGTGTTGACCACGTCACGCATTGTTAATGTAACTTCATGCTACTAGATTTGTTAGAGGGAGGTCTTATGTTACGGACTGATAGTTTGGCTATTCGTCAAGAAAATTGATTGAATTTGTTGAAAATAATTTATTTATGTTATTTATCATATTTTCGAAGCCGTGATTTTCTTTTGACTCACGCACCACACCAAGAAGATACTAGAGCTGAGTGTTAATTGCTCAATAGCGGAAACGTATTCAGATACACATCTGTATTCACTCTGCATAAGCTTGTTCACGTTATTTTTCTAGTCATTCATTTCTTAACATTCTCATGACCTCATCTCATTAAACGGGTATCCTCTAAGTTTCTAAAACATAACACATTCGCTAATCTTTATCCTTAACTTTCTGTTTGCTAAGTTATTCGTTTCACAATTCTTAACTTTATCCCTGTAAATTTGAGAATATAGTGATCATATATCGTAATTAGTATAGCTAAGGATGCTAATTTGTTGAATTGGATGTTCCATCCAGCTCAACAAAAATTCCGACAGCCAATCACGTGCACGTAGAATAAAATATGTAGAATATAACAGTTTTTGTTGTCTAGTTGCACTGAAGCAGAAGCTGTAGCTGGCATGATGATTAAATTATGTTACATAAGAGTCGATTTCTCGAGATGCTTTTGTGCCTTAACTAATTCTCTTGAGATTTTTACTATTTCCTATTCATTATGATCTCTTGTGCCCTCCTTTCTCACGTTTTTCTTGTATCTACTCTACCAGTTAATGGACAATGCGGGAGTCTTTCGGCCTCCTGAGGACTTGACTTATAAAGCTAAGGTGTAAGGTGTGTGTTTTGTCGCGTTTTCATTCCCTTTGTTAATCTAGGGGTATTTGCGGTTTTGATAAAGTATGGATCTCGCCTTGCTTGCATTTACCTGATTCAGTTTTGATTCTCAACCATAGACGTTTCGATGAGGGCTAGCTTTCAGATAAGTCTATTGATTACCCGCCAGGTATGCGTTTCTCTACTGATAAATCAGATATATTTTCTAACTATTTTAGATAATGCTTTGATGTTTTTGCAACTATACCTGATACTGGTACGAATTTCAGCGTTTGAGATTCGTTCGTAGAAATCTTTTTTTGTCACCTCTTTGTCACCAAACTTGGCTAAAGTTCAAACCCACCCCTGAGTTTCACCAGGAAACACAAAAATCAACGCAATGTTTTAACTCAGAACATGGTTTGCTACAACAAAGTTAAATACAAATTAGTAGTTGATGAAGTGCTCCAGCTTTCTCAGTGAACTTCTTCCCTCATGTTGTAATTGCAGAAAATCGCTCCACATTCATTTCATAATTCATATTTCTTGATTGGAAACTATTTACGGCCTCGTTAGCAATACTGTTTTTATATCGCCAACACGGATAGATAGGTTTAGTTTTTTTAGTTTTCATGACCCACCCTGTAGCTTGTGTCCCCTAATAGCCGTTATTCTATTGTTCCTGGCGAAAATTATAAACAGCATTTGAAGTTTTGTTTATTGATGGTGTTCATGCCTGGAGATTCAAATTTTTGCAAACTACACAAAGATCTAAGGTTACGGTAAACGTAATGTGGGAAAAAATCAATTTTTCGATTTTTTTTCAAATTCAATTAGCCAATGTAAAAGGCACACAATGATACCAAATTTGAAACCAACAGGTATTTTGAAAATGGAGAAAATCCCATGTGAACGAAGGTTTCAATAATTTCCTTATTAAAACTTTTATTTGAGGCCTGAAAATCTCTTGACCTGTTAAGCCGATTATCGTTGCTTTGCAGTTGTGGTCGCATGTCTCATTCACAATATTGCATGGCACATACATGTATCCCATCTATGGCTGTGTTTATTAAAACAGGCTTAATGATCTTAAAGCTTCAAGTGACTTGACCCGGATTTCACTGTGGTTTCAAGTGACTTGACCCGGATTACACTAGTGTCCCTTGCAAGTGCAATTAGTAAAACCCCATTTTCTCTAGACTTCCAATTTCTCTACATACAGGTACGAAAAAGCTTTTTTGGACCCAAGGAACCAATCGAATGGCCCAAAACTTCGCACGCAGCCAGGACATATCTCGGGTAAGCAAAGTATCTGAAAATTTTTGTATTTGCTCTGGTCCGTCTTTTATATACAGCTTTGGGAGGGAAGAAAAATTATTTGTCAATTTTTGACAGGGTATAGTTTCAAGGGGAGGAAGAATTTAGAAAATTTGAGACACTCTTTGGTAGCTTAGGATCTGCGCTTTCTATTGATATTAGTCAGATCTTGATACCTCAAACGCAAGGGTAGAAAATAGCTTTTATAGGTGGAACACTCATTTAAGCAATAAATTTGCCTGGAATGTATCATTTTACAATGTTTGCCAATTATTTTGATCTGCCCGGAATCACCACATTCTTGTGCATCGTATGATGTATAGTTTAATCCGATTCCGTTAATAGTTTGGCCTTCAGGGAGAGAAAACCAAATATCGTGTCAAAAACTTTTACCGTAACCTTAAAGTGACTTCAAGTTGTTGCTTTTTTCAAGTTCTCTCTTTTAGTCTTTTACTAAAGGTTGGTGATAAGTCATTTATGGAATTGGTTGTAGATTAAGTTAACTGACGATACTTAGCTGATTATTAAAAAAGATTCTAGATTATTTCTCCATTGAAGTTTTTCCAGTGTTTAGATGCCTTAAAAAGGGTTTCTAAATTATGCTAGATTCGCAAGACCCTTGTGGCTTGTTTGTTTCTAAGGAATCTATACTTTGCTTCCAATTTCCTGGAATGATATAAGGTTTCTAGCCTTCATTGACGTACATTAGCGCGGAGATTTGCCTACTGTCCACCTTTATGAGCAAAAATTATCCTGTAACTTGCCTTTGAAGGGAGGACTGTTTCCTCAAGCCTAAAGAGTGGAAGTGTGCTGTTAAGTTCTATCCTCGTGTTATGCTCCGTGGCTAGGCATGCGAGCTGAAATGGTCGTAGAATTCGCAAATCTTTCACGTTGATGCCGCTTAATTTGCCACCGCTTCGGGTTCCTGAATATCTTAAACGTTTTATTTTTACCATGCAGTGATGAATAATAGAGTTCTGAATCCGCAAAGAAGAATATTTTGCTCTGAATATAGCAGTAGGTAATTAAGAAGAACGATTACAACTTTATTTAACAAGCCTCTACCACCACCAACTCTATTAAAAACCAAATTCTGAAGAGCAATCGGCATAATTTGAATTACAATCATAATACGACGAAACTCTCAGTTAATTACTTCATTTAGACCAGAATCTTAATGCATAAAACACTTTACATTTATCCGGTTGACAAAATAAATTAATATACACAGTTGGCATTTCAATTGAACCCACAATGAAAGTCGCCGTAAATGCTAATGAAAATATAAACAGTAACACTTAGAAATTAAAGGCCTGACTCGTATCATTAAAAGTTCATGCAATAAAACTTGTAATCAAAGGATTTGAAGTTTTGTAACAGTTTTGATTTGTTAGAATCTGTGCTCTTGTAGCAATATCACTGACAATCCGTTAGATATTTAGTTGTTTTTGAAAATATATTTCACGATCCTCACCCAAGATACTGAACTTTACTGTTTGCCTGTCTGTCATTTCATGTGTACATTGCTATAAGTGCTATATAATCTGCGCATGTTACTCCTCCCTTGTATCAATCCTGGGGCCCTGGAGTGGATCCGTTTGGAACGCAAGAATGAAATATTTGGAACCGCTCAATTTTCTCTCGTGTAAACAAGGTCTTAGTTGATTTTGCAAATATGTTTCACGAAGCTCACTCAAGATAGTGAACTTTACTGTTTGATTGTCTGTCATATCATACATGCATTTCTTTATGCGCTATATACAGTAAATCCCCGCATATAAAAACCTACAAAAATAAGAACCTAGAGGCTGTTTTTCCTAAATTATGCACTTTGTAATTAAGAACCGGTTTCAGTGTGATAAAATATAATAGGTTCTTATCCCAAGGGCAAAAAATAGAGAGTATGAATACGTATTCATTTTTTTAACTATTTGAATGCGTAAACTATCGCAGCAAACAACGCTCTGTTTACGCCATTGCTCACTTTTGTCATGTAGAAGCCGCATAATTTACGCATAATTAATTTTTCCAGAGATCCTAGGAAAACGCTAGTACTCGAGTTTGCTCTCGGTTACACAGACCCTCTACTTTCAAGTAAGGGGTCTGGGACACAGGCCATATAAATAGGGCTATCAAGAGAACATAACAGAAAAGGAAATTATCCATAGTCTTAAAGGAAATTGGATTGAAACTGTGTTTGCAAATGCACTTGCATTCCTCATGAAAACCATTCACTGTTCATAATGGCGGGCAAGCCTTCGAAGATACCATAATTCAGTGATAGAAAGCACATGCTGTACGGTCAGACGCAGAGAAAATTGGCGCCCTTTCCAAATCGCAACCTTAAACCGCATGCGCAGTTGAAAAGTTATCCTGGTTCAAACCTGTTTCGCATTAACGCAAAATTCTTTCAAAACAAACCAGGGCTGAGTGGGCCCGGGCTGAGTGGGCCCGGGCTGAGTGGGCCCGGGCTGAGTGGGCCCGGGCTGAGTGGGCCCGGGCTGAGTGGGCCCGGGCTGAGTGGGCCCGGGCTGAGTGGGCCAGGGCTGAGTGGGCCTGGGCTAAGTGGGCTCGGGCTGACTCGGCCCGGGCTGACTCGGCCCGGGCTGACTCGGCCCGGGCTGACTCGGCCCGGGCTGACTCGGCCCGGGCTGACTCGGCCCGGGCTGACTCGGCCCGGGCTGACTCGGGCCGGGCTGACTCGGCCCGGGCTGACTCGGCCCGGGCTGACTCGGCCCGGGCTGACTCGGCCCGGGCTGACTCGGCCCGGGCTGACTCGGCCCGGGCTGACTCGGCCTGGGCTGACTCGGCCCGGGCTGACTCGGCCCGGGCTGACTCGGCCCGGGCTGACTCGGCCCGGCCTGACTCGGCCCGGCCTGACTCGGCCCGGCCTGACTCGGCCCGGGCTGACTCGGCCCGGGCTGACTCGGCCCGGGCTGACTCGGCCCGGGCTGACTCGGCCCGGGCTGACTCGGCCCGGGCTGACTCGGCCCGGGCTGACTCGGCCTGGGCTGACTCGGCCCGGGCTGACTCGGCCCGGGCTGACTCGGCCCGGGCTGACTCGGCCCGGGCTGACTCGGCCCGGGCTGACTCGGGCCGGGCTGACTCGGCCCGGGCTGACTCGGCCCGGGCTGACTCGGCCCGGGCTGACTCGGCCCGGGCTGACTCGGCCCGGGCTGACTCGGCCCGGGCTGACTCGGCCCGGGCTGACTCGGCCCTGACTCTATTGGTTTTAAACAATGTATTGTAAACGCGAAAGAGGGTTGAGCCCGGTTAGCTTTTCTACTGCGCATGCGTAATAAGGTTGCGAATTGAAAAAGATGTCAATTTTTTCTTCATCTTTTCGCACAGCTTGTGCTTTCTGTTAGACTCTTAGGTTACGGTAGACGTTTTCTGGATGAAACCATTTTTCGATTTCTTCAACCCTAGAGCCGAACTTTTAAAGCACACAATTATAACTATGTTTGAAACTAGCAGAAGTTTTGAAAATGCAAAGAATTACATGTAAAGGGAAGTTTCCATAACTTCTTTATCAAAACTAGTAGTTGAGGTCTGAAAATCTCTTGACCTGTTAAGCTGATGATCGTTGCTTTGCGGTTGTGGTCGCATGTCTCATTTACAATACCGCATGGCGCATGCATGTTTCCAATGTATGACTGTGTTTATTCAAACAGGCTTATTCATCTTAAAGCTTCAAGTGACTTCACTGCGTTTTACGAGTGTACCTTGCAAGTGCGATCAGTAAAATTTCGTTTTCTACGGACTTACAACTCCTCTACATACAGGACGAAAAAGCTATTTTGTACCAAAGGAACTAATCGAATGGCTCAAAAATTTGCACACGGCCAGGACAGATATCAGGTAAGCAAATTGTGTCTCCAATTTGTCTAGCTGGGAATCAGTTTACTTCAAACTATGTCATAATTCAATTAAACTAGGAGTAATACTTGAAAAAGTTAACGAATTAATAAACGACGTTTTGAGCATAGCCCGTTATCAAATTAGTATATTTATGTCATAATTCATTCTTAAAACCTCATGCAATGTATGACGGAATGAGGAATTATATTGCAAGCAAAACGGGGGCTCGTCCCCGGAAAAAGATTTTAAATCACGCTATTTGGAGATTCAGAAAATGCCGAAATTTAATGTCTTTTTTTCACAATTTGCTTTGGGAAGAAGATTCTCAGTCAAATTGACTGTATTTGAAACTTTGAAAGGGTGTAAAAATATTTAGGTGTCAAATGATGTAAAGTGGTTTGCAGATTTTGGCAGTTAGACTAAAGCCCAAAGCCTAAAGCCATTTTTCAGTTAGCGCGCCACTATTTTCTAAAATTTTTCAAAGAAAGCAACTTCTCTTTCCAGCGTAGGAGACGAGATTATTTTCGATTAAACATGCTATCTTCTGAAATTTAGCAAAATAATGACTTCATTTTCATCAAACGGTAATTTATGAATTTTTGAAAGTATTAGAGCGTTTCTTTGAAAAAATAAAGAGGGATTTTAGTTCCTAATAGCCTAGTATGATGCCCGTACAATTATGCGTAATTTTGGTCAGGCATTGAACATGTGCTTATAAAACTATTGACTTTTCAGAAAGTTATCTGACAACATCAATTTGAAAAATGGGTTCTAAGTGATCCTCATGCTACCCGTTTGTGCAAATTGATAATTTTGCAGATTGATGGGCTCCTTCTGTATGAGAAAGACATGGTAAAAAGGACAAAGAATCTCTTAAAAAAACACATATTATTCAGTAACGAAAATTACTTAAGTTTGAGGAAATATTAGAATACTCTCATAAGTTATTTTCAAAACATACGGCTTAATCTTCCATTAATACTTGTAGGAGTTTCATATTTTCCAGGCTCTTTCTGTAGAATTCCAAGTTTGAGGTGTTTCTGCCAAGTTCCAATCAAGGAGAAGGGGGAGGGGGGGGCACAGCTGGTCATTAGTTTGTCACTAGACACGACTTTTGAATAAAGTTGGACAAAATTTCTTTTTTGTACAAAACGCAGAGGTTTTAGCGCTTCAAATACAAAATCAAGATGCCTTTGAGTTCTTAGTTGAAATGCAAAATTAAATAGGCTGTCACAGGACGTTTAGAAAATTTTATCCTTTATCATTCCTAGAGCAGACTTAACTATTAAGGGATATTTGATGGTCCAAGGAAAAAGCCAGGGCCTATTTCAAGAAATTTTCAATACTGCACATTTTTAAGAAATTTTCAATACTGCACATTTATAATCATATTTTCTTATAGTAAATTTTTTTGTTGCAATCAGTTCAAACCCCTGCAACCCCCAGGTATCTTAGCCATGCAAGTGTAGCGAGGAAATTGCCTGAATTTTGAACACGTGTATAGGCTATGACGGAGAAATCACAAACAGATAAAAGATTATATACACAATCAATAATAACATTTCAAAACAGCAACAAAACAAACAGAAGCTACAAAACCTGAATAGAAACATAGTCATTTATCTCTTGTAAACGGAGTCACTATCTCGTGTTTTGTCTGGACAGTACAACAAAAAAGTTTCATTAGGCTCTTTATCTTCATTTTAGTTAAGTTAAGTGAGCTTCTGCTAGATGCCCATGGCATCATAGGGCAACTGATAAATTATTACTGAATGTTTTATCTTCGACAAGATCAAATTACAAAATTTACAGCAATGCTGACATTTACAGGAGATGTTTTGTTTTTGGTTCTGGGAATTTCGATTTGTTTTAAGTTTTGATAAGAGAGTCTTTCCGATGGTTATACGAGAATTACAATACATGAACTCTATATCAAAGTGACGAGGAAAATTCACATTTTATGAACAAAGCAGGAATTTGGGATAGCCGCAAAAAGACATTTTCACAAATCCCGAAATTCAATACTGCACATTTTGGAAATCAATACTGTACTCTAAGGTCCTTAATAAAAGGGGGGGACGCTTATTAATTTTTCGACTTTTTTCCGACCCAACAGGAGCTTATTTGGACCCCCCCCCCCGCTTATTAATTTTTATATTCAATTGTTATGTTCGATTGCTTTAGCTGCATAAATTATAATTATGTATTACTCGTTACCAGCTCTCCAGTGATTGATGTTTAAATGTAGTTAGAGATGGAGGGCGGATAATGTTATGTTCTGTTAATAAATAAAGATATAGCAAACGATGTTGTGTTTTAATGTTTCCAACCTGAACAACAATATAAAATGGCGCCCAACGTGGGGCATGAAATTGAGTATTGAAACATGGAATCCCTCCATAAACTGATTAAGATTCGTGGAGCAAACCGATCCGTGGCAACGAAATTAGAACGAGAAGCACTTGAGCTGCTCAGCGAACCTGGAGAGCCCCGAGACGATGAACGGATTTGTCGATTAGAAACGATTTTGGAATTATTGGACTCGAAATTGAAGGAATTGAAGTTATTTGACGGACAAATTATCGATGTATTGGAAGAAGAAGAAAAGATTGATAGCGAAGTAACGGAAGCAAACGAATATGAATTTCGCATCTCTAATGCCATACGAAAGATCAAGCGAAAACTGCATCCACCAAACCCATTTTCCCCGGCAACTAGTACAAGAATTAGAAGACAATTACCAACAACACCACCGAGCGTGAGAAGGCTTTCTTTACTTAGAACTACACCAATAACACCAGCCAATCCTTCCAGTGATGAACACGACGGAAATGGAAATAATTCCCTTCAAAGTGGAAGTTCGTCTTCGTCGCATGGAAATTCAAATTCGAAACTGCCAAAGTTGCAATTACCGAGATTCAGTGGCGATATTGTGAATTTTTTCAGTTTCTGGGAGAGTTTTAATGCAGCTGTTCACGAGAATACGAACATCCCAACGATAACGAAATTTAGTTACCTGAAATCATACTTGGATGGACAAGCGGCGAGAGCTATAGAAGGACTGCCTATGACCGAAGCAAACTATGAAAATGCCCTGCTGATACTTCAGGATAGGTTCGGAAAAAAGCAGAAGATCATTTCGAAACATATGGACGAACTTTTGAAGTTACCAGTTTGTCAAAACGATAAACCAGCGCAACTAAGATATGTGTACGATACAATTAACGTACATGTACGCGGATTACAGTCATTAGGAATCAGTTCGGATCAGTACGGAAGCCTGTTGATTCCCGTTATAATGTCGAGGGTTCCGAAGGATATTTCCCTGCAAATTGCGAGGCATACTTCGAAAGAAATCTGGTCGATTTCAGAGCTTCTTATGATTATTAAGCATGAAGTGGAAGCTCGAGAAATGCGTGACTACATTCACATCGCCGACAATAAGGCACCGATAACAACGACAAAAATCCGAGCAACTGGGAACATGGGTACGACGTCAGTTTTCGTATCAAGGAATGCGACAAAAAATATTTGTTGTTATTTTTGCTCTGGCAACCATTACGCCTCAGATTGTAACACTATCGTGGATGTTAACAAGCGGAAAGAGCATTTGTTGCGAGTTGGGCGATGTTTTTCTTGTTTGAGGACAGGCCATGTCGTAAAACATGCCCAAGTGCAAAATTTTGCAGTTTTTGCAGAGGAAAACATCACTCAAGCATCTGTGAAAGGAAGAGTAATAATAGCGGAGCAGAGTCAATGCCACCTAATGTTACTGCGATATCAAAAGAAAAGAAATCGACGCATGTTTTATTGCAAACTGCAAAGGCAACAGCAGTAAACCCGAGCACCGGAGAAAAATGCTCCATTCGCATTTTGTTCGACAATGGCAGTCAGAGAAGCTATGTGACCGAAGATGTGGTGAAGAAATTACAACTGAAAACGGAGATGAAAGAAACCTTGAACTTGAACACTTTCGGTAGCGCTGAGTATAAAAGTAAGAACTGCAAATTGGTAAGTTTCCAGATTGAATTAAATGACGGACAGTTAGCTGTTGTTAATGCACTTTCGTACCCAGAATTATGTTCTCCGCTCCCCACCCTTGTAGAAGTAAATTCTTTCCCTCATCTACAGGGTTTAGAATTGGCAGATGAGGTTGACATAGGAAGTAATGATCATATCAATGTTTTGATAGGAGCTGACCAATATCATAGTATCGTAGTGGGGGATGTAATTAGAGGAGAAAACGGTCCCGTAGCTGTTAAGAGTAAACTAGGTTGGGTGTTGTCGGGAAAATTAGAGTCGTCGAAAATCTCTCAGGATAATTTTACGTCGGCAAATTTATGTATTGAGAACCCAAGGCTTACCGAATCGGATAAGGATAAAGAATTAGTTGATACACTGAAAGCCTTTTGGGAAGTAGAAAATACCGGGTTAGATTGTAACAAGTTAGTTGATAGTAACGAAACGGATAAATTTTGTGACATAAGGGTACAAGGAGATCGTTACGAAGTAGGATTACCATGGAAACCGACGGAGCCAAAAAATATGGTAAATAATTTTGAGCAGTGCAAGACTCGGTTGAACTCGTTACATTCTCGTTTGATTAAGGATCCCGAACTGATGCGAGAGTACGATGGTATATTTAAGGAGCAACTCGCTCAAGGTATAATCGAAAAGGTGCCCTCTTCGGAATTAGATAATGACAACGTTAGATTTATGCCACATTTTGGAGTTATTCGCAAGGACAGAGTTACGAGTAAGGTCAGGGTAGTTTTTGATGCGAGTGCAAAAATGGAAACCGAGAATTTGTCGTTAAACGATCGTTTAGAACGAGGGCCTAATTTGATTCTGATGTTGTTTGATGTTCTAGTTAAGTTTCGAACTAAGGTCATTGCACTTACTGCTGATATCGAGAAAGCCTTTCTTCAGATAGGTATTAAACAGGAGGACCGTGATTTTCTCAGGTTTTTGTGGTATGATGAGCCACAGTCTGCAAATCGCTCGATTGTCCAGCTGCGTTATGCGCGTTTGCCCTTTGGCCTACGGCCGTCTCCTGCTGTTTTGGGAAGTGTTTTGTTGCAACATGTGTCATCATACCAAGAGAAAAACCCTGAGATTGTCAAGGTACTCAAGGGTTTATTTGTTGACGATCTGTCAACAGGTGGAGAGACAGTAGACAAGGCTTACGAAATTTATCAACAGTCAAAACAGGTAATGAGGGAAGGAAATTTTAACCTTCGTAAATGGAATTCGAATTCGCAGGAGTTAATAGAACGCATCCGAAAATCTGAAGGTCAAGCAACAACCGGGGGGTCAGACCCAAAGTTAGGCGAAGAGGATCAGTCTTACGTACAATCGTGTATAGGTCTTAGTGCAGATAATGAAACTGTGAAAATATTAGGGTTGCACTGGAACTCCTCGTCGGATGAAATCTGTTATGATTTTACGGAGATTACGCAATTAGCTAAAACACTTCCAGCAACTAAACGTTCACTGCTAAGATTAACCGCTAAAATATTCGATCCGTTAGGAATTTTGAGCGTATTTACGGTTAGAATGAAGGCCATGTTTCAATCGTTATGTTTACAGAAAGTAGCTTGGGATGAGGAATTACAGGGAAGTGCTAGGTTAGAATTTAATGCATTTCTTTCCAAGCTACAACAGTTAAGTAAGGTTAGAATACCAAGGTGTCTTATCAACGGGTTGAGTGTACGCTCATATCAGATTCACGGCTTCTCGGACGCTAGCGAGCAAGCCTATGCTTGTGTCGTTTATTTGCGCACAGAATATGAAAACGGAGAGGTAGATTGTAGAATTATTGCGTCGAAAGCAAGAGTAGCACCCATCAAACAGGTAACTATCCCGAAATTAGAGTTGATGGGGGCCCTGTTATTAGCAGAGTTGATGGATACAATTCGTACTGTTTTGCTTGAAGAATTAGATCCGGCGAAAATCACAAGTTTTTATTGGGTGGATTCCTTAGTAGCACTCTGCTGGATAAAAAACAGTAAGCCCTGGAAACAGTTTGTAAGGAACCGGGTCCACAAAATTCTAGAACTAACAGACAGGTCAGAATGGAAGTTTTGTCCAGGTGTCTTAAACCCAGCAGATTTACCCTCGCGCGGGCTTTGCGGAAAGGACCTTTCAAGGAATGTGTTTTGGTTTGAAGGTCCCGAGTTCTTGAAGCAAAGAATTGAATTGTGGCCATCCATTGATATAACTGACAAGGAAGCCCACGAAATTGCCTTGAAGGAGGAAGCCAACAATTCTCACATGATAACACACACGTTGTCTAGTTCGACGGATGTTTTGAGTATACAGAATTTAGTAAACATAGAACGATTTGGGAGTAAACGTAAGCTTCTTGGCACCCTGGCTTGGGTTTTCAGATTCGTAGGAAACTGTAAGGCATCGTTAACTAACCAAACCCCCGATTTAAATGAGGAGTTAAGAAACGAAGAAATTGAACGAGCAGAATACAAATTGTTAAGTTACATTCAAAGAGAAGAATTTTCAGAAGAGTATGAATATTTGCGTGGTAAAATGGTAACCAAGCCTCCTTTAAAAGTTAAGCAATTCAATTTGTTTTTAGATAACAACGGCGTTATAAGAGCGAGATCTCGGATAACCAACGCTTCTGTTCCAGATTCTACGAAAACGCCAATTTTGTTACGTCCCTATAACTGGTATTCAAAGTTGGTGATAAAAGAATATCATGCTATTGTATTGCATAGTGGCGTACGTGACACGTTAAACGAAATTCGCCAACGTTATTGGATTTTAAGAGGTAGAGAAGCAGTAAAGAAATTTAAAAGGTCGTGTACTGTTTGCATATGGATTGATAGGCACACAATTAAGTCTACTCTAGCCCCAGACCTCCCAGATTCACGTGTAGATGATGGACCACCTTTTACTAACACGGGTTTAGATTTTGCGGGACCCTTGCTTATTAAGGGTAAGAATCCGTCAAGTAAGGAATTAAGTAAATCATATATTTGTATCTACACATGCTTTTCAACTAGAGCCATCCATTTAGAATTGGTAGATAGCCTGAATGTACCCTCGTTTTTTCTTTCATTTCGTAGATTTTGTGCTCGTAGAGGATTGCCGCGTAAATTATATAGCGACAACGCTAAGACGTTTAAGGCTGCTTCTAAAGAGGTAAAGCAGATTCTTAATTCGAAAAACGTGAAAAGCATGATCGTAGATAAAGGCGTCGATTGGGAATTCATAGTACCAAAAAGCCCATAGATGGGTGGAGCCTGGGAAAGATTAATCAGATCGGTAAAACGTACCTTGCATAAAATGGTGGTTAGAGCGCGACTAACTTTTGATGAATTAAATACGTTACTGGTTGAGATAGAATCGGTAATTAATTCTCGTCCTTTAACATACGTTTATGATGATACAGAAGGGGTTACATATCCATTAACACCGTCACAGTTACTTTATGGTAGAAATGTTACATTGTCGCCAAATGATAGTTATTTAACAGTAATTAGCACTCAAGAAACATTAATGAAACGTATCAAATACCATCGAAAGTTATTATCGGAATTCGCCAAAAGATGGAAAAATGAGTATCTGCCTAGTCTTCGTAAGATAGCAAATCGAAATGAACTTAACGAAAGCATTGTATCGTTGGGTGATATTGTTATTGTAAAAAATGAACAGACTAAGCGTTCGTTTTGGAAAATAGGAAAGGTGGTAGAATTGAAGCCTAGTAGAGACGGTAAAATTCGTTCAGTAAAATTGAAAGTGTCTACGGATAACGGAACTACGTATTTAGTACGTCCATTACAATGTTTAGTGCCCTTAGAGGTAAAATCAAATGTATTGACTTAATTGTATGCTTTTTT